TTTATATTACCCTTGATCCATCCATCTCCTTCTCTAGCCCCCAATGTTATGCTTATTATCTTTTGTCAGGATCTCAATAGAATAAAGCTTTTTACAGTCCTGGTAAAAACATAGAGGGGGACAAAAGACTTGAGAAATGTTGTCTATATATCTTTTAAACATTTCTGGAATATACAATCTTAGCGGATTTTAAACGTAGTTTTAAGCGTGCTATTTTAATAGTGCGTCAAAGAAAAAACAGGTATTTACGTACATAATGCATTCATCTGAGAAGCAATGGCGTAGAACACAGTGAGTTAATTCTTAGATAAGATATGTCAATGATAAAACTACAGATCGACACATATTCATTTATATTTTCATCTCAACCAAAATCAGTCCAAAAAAAACTTTATTTTTTATAATTCAAAATAAACAAGCTGACCAAAGTATTAAATTATTACAAGACAATTTTGATTTCAGGGGTGTAAATATGTCCCAAAGTTAATGTTCACTGACTTTATAACCGGGACCCCTGTAGTTTACGGTGCACTAAGATACGGAACTTGCATAATTTAGAATACTAGACTTTTAAGGCGCTTCGCGCCCATCTTCTATTTCAACTTTTATCTGTTGCTTTATCTGTGAGCATCTTCTCATTGTACAGTATAAAACAAACAAAAAATGTTTGCGTATTTCATAATATTTTTTCGCGCATTTTTAAAATTTTACAAAAATAAAAAAAACTTTTAAACACAAATTTTTAAAATTTTGATCATTCATAAACCTTCCCTGTGGTCACGTGAGGTCCCACACAAAATTTTGGCCTGATCGGTACAGCCGTTTTGATGTTTATTGGATACAAACAAACAGCCAAACACCCAAAGAGACACCCAAACAAGCTAAATGTATATTTATATTTTGGACGAACTTTATACAGAAAAAATAAGACTTGAATTTTCGATAATACTTCTACACAAAACAAAAGTTTATAATCAAATTAATTTTTATACACCAAAAACTTATATTGCAATTTTTTTAGGACTTTCCTTACCTTCTCAAGATAATAATAGAACTTTATCGTCAGGTATTATTATTATCATTATTATTATTATCATTATTATTATCATTATTATTATTATTATTATTATTATTATTAATACTATTATCATTATTATTATTATTTTTATTATTATTATCATTATTTTGTTATTTATAGTATAGTCATTACTTTTAATTATTTTTTTTCTTTACTTTATTGTGCTTTTAAGAAATAAAATAAAAAATATTTTTTTTAATTCTATTATTTTAAGAACCCACAAAAGATAATTATTTTATGATAAAGTTCCTATCATTTAAACAAAATCAAACTTCATTTATTAGATAATGTATTCCATATTACGAACCTATTCTTTGACGAAAATTTGAGAAAAAACTGTAATTTTAAATTTAAAGTTTTGATAAATTCTCCTCCAAAGGTTTTTTCTCTTTAAATATTTTTAATTGTGATTTCTCTTTTTACATATGATCAGAACTTTTTATGTAAAATTTTAGAGAGAAGAGATTTCTCCAATTAGAATTACTTGCGGATTTCTGGTTAAAAAACAAATAAGGTTTTACTGTTGTGAATCGGACCTTAGAAGATTTTCCACTTGAAGTCGCAACGTCAGTCCCTTTAATTAAAAACAAATATAACTTTTCTTTTTGTTCAGGTTCCACAAGATCTTCTTGTGAGTTCCAGAACTCGAGTTTTAAACCAGAATTAGATTATTCAGACCCGGGGTATAATAGGTAAAGCTGGGCATAATATCATTTTTATTATTAAAACTTATTAAAACTTTATTTTTAAGAACATGATTCTCGTAAAATAACTTATTCATAAGTCGGTCACTTTTCAGTATAAAGGTATTTTTGTGATTTTTAAAAAAGGTTTGTTTAAAGGTCTTTTTAGGTCGGGTAAATATTTTTTTAGAGAAAACAAATATAGATAGATCTGAAAGAAAATAAAAACAATTTTAAATAAGAACAGAAAAAACCATTTCAAGAATTTTGTTTAAAAATACTAATGCCCAGTTCTTCTAATAGAAGGGTTTACTCCTCCCGGACTACCTCCTACCTTACTCCTTCACCATCTCCCCGGGGAACCTTTCCACCAACCTCTCCACCTTCTCATTCATCTACACCATACCCAGCACCACATAGGTAAACTTCAGTACAGTACAGTACAGACAGTACCGTACTGTACAGTACAGTACAGTACCGTACTGTACAGTACAGTACTTACAGTACAGTACAGTACAGTACAGTACAGTACAGTACAGTACAGTACAGTACAGTACAGTACAGTACAGTACAGTACAGTACAGTACTGTTAAAACCCTGTGATTGTTTTAAACTGCTGAAAAACTATAGTTAATAAAAAAGGAACCGAAAGGCAAAATATGTATTTATCAGAAAAATCCCTCCACAATATCAAAATCTGGTTTTCAAGTACTCAGCAAGGATAGGGTTTATAATAATAAAAGTTATGAAGATATTCTTGCTTGTGAATCTAAGAAAAATAGTTTCCGATTGTGATTTCTCTCTACAAGTGATATTTTCGGATTATATTAAATAGAAACAAGGAAGAACATTTACAGAACAGTTAAGTATTATCTTCAATGTACAAGCCAAAATGTTTTTGGGAGGTGCGGCATTAATCACCGCTCTTTTTGGTATTCTGAGCTTAATTAAATATGAAAGAGAAAATTTGTTAAAAACTTATATCTTCTCTACCTAAGGTTGTAGACCTTATATATGGCAAAATTGGAATTCTGTTAATTTTTATAACTTAAGTTTGAAATATAAAAGGTTGTCAAGTTCAGGTTGCAAAAAAAAATGGATTAGAAATTTAGAGTTTTAAGTCACAAAATCGACGATGTCTTGCTAATTGCTACGCAGATAGAGGGTTTAAGGTTACTGTTGTAAATCGGACATGTCAGTCTCCATTGTCAGGATTTGTTTTAACAAAATGTTTTCCAGGTATTCAACTCAATACTGCTCCAACTACCAGTATTCTTATCCTCAGGTTAGCACAATCAATTTAATTATAACAATAATAATGATGATAATTGTCATTCACATCTAATTACATAAATCTAGTCATTGGAAGCTATAAACATCCATGTTCAGCGCACAATATTTACAAGAACATTTTTGATCTTCCGGCATGGGTAAGATGTTGGAAGAGAGTTAAGGAAACCTTGCAAAAATTATGTCGGAAAAAAAGAAGTCAAAAAGCTTAATTATTGGAAATGTTATTGGTTATTTCTTTTTCCCTGGTCGCTTTTCCGACGCTGACATAAGCATGAATTACCACAAAATCCTCCTGACTGCCTTTTTTGAAAGTCAAGAATGAACATTTCAAAATTGTGACTAATTTTAGGGCCATTTTAGGGTTCCAATGCGATTCAGTTAAAATTACCCCATGAGAAATTCTGTTCATAATTTGTATTTTTTGTTTTTTTTAGACAAACGGTGGACCTGGGTCTTACAAAAAAAATATTCTAAAATCTAAATAAATAAATTTAAACTATTTTTGAATATTTTTAAACATTTTAAAAAAAATGATTGATGCTAATATCTACACACTACAGGGATATCCTGGCTACCCTGGATACTATTCTGACCCTCCACCCACTGGATATCATGGATATCAAAACTATACCAAAGGAAATATATTATATTTAAAATGTCATAATAAAATCGTATGCAAAGTTTTATAAGCGTTTTTTGTAAGCATTTTTTTAGAAAACAGACAAAAAAACCTATTTTTCTTAATCACATATATCCCATTATTTCAAACCTATATCAAACTAAGTATTTTATTTATGTATATATCCTGGTTTTCCAGTAAAATATCTGATTATTTTAGTCACATATCCGGTTTGTTTAGTCAAATATCCGGTTATTTAGTCACATAACCGGGTTGCTTAGCACATAACCGGTTTGCTCAGTCACATATCCGGTTTGCTTAGTCACATATCCGGTTTGCTCAGTCACATATCCGGTTTGCTCAGTCACATATCCGGTTTGCTCAGTCACATATCCGATTTGCTCAGTCACATATCCGGTTTGCTTAGTTGCATAACAGGTTTGCTCAGTTACATAACCGGTTTGCTCAGTCACATATCCGGTTTGCTCAGTCACATATTCGGTTTGCTTAGTAACATATCCGGTTTGCTCAGTCACATATCCGGTTTGCTCAATCACATATCCGGTTTGCTCAGTTACATAACCGGCTTGTTTAATCGCATATCCGGTTTGTTTTGTCCCATATCCGGTTAATTTATTCAGTCACATATCCGGATTGTTTAGTTGATCACATAACCTGTTTGCTCACATGTTACATATTCTGTTTTTTTCAGTCACACATTCGGGTTGTTTGGTCACACACCCGGTTTATGCAGCCAGATATCCAGTATTTGTTCATTCACATATCCTGGTTTTTCAGTCACATATCCTATTTTCAGTCACATATCCGGTTTTTCAGTCACATATCCTATTTTCAGTCACATATCCGGTTTTTCAGTCACATATCCTGGTTTTTCAGTCACATATCCGATTTTTTAGTCACATATCCTGGTTTTTCAGTCACATACCCGGAACAATTGTAAAGATCTTAAACCATTTATTATATTTTATAGTATTTATAATTTTTAGAGAATATATAAATATGATAAATATATTAGTACTAGGAGGAGAATATGGAGAATATGAAGGAAGTTACAGTAATGCATATTACGGAGCAGGTTGTCAGGGAGATCCAGTACTTAACCCTAATCAACCCCTTCCTCCAGATTTTAGGTGAAAAATATAACTTTTTAAAATCTATTTCGAAATTTGCCAATACAATACAAGGTTGCAAAGAAATGGGGTTTAGAAAATTCGAATTTGTGGCGAGTGTTATGTTTTATACGAGATTTAAGTTTTTTTTTTAAATTTTGCATTAACTGTCAGAAACCAACACTCCCCCCTCTCCCCCTCCCCTACTGTTAATTGTACCCCGCCCCTGAAGCAAAAGATACCAGTGAATGCGCCTGAGGTCATGTATTTATTTTCAACCGAGTGATATTTGCCAAAAAATCAGTTGTGAATTGACTGAACCAATGAATGTGGCGGGAAAAGAACAAAAATCCGCCAAAATATTTGAAATTTGTGAGAGCCAGTGTTTAGTTTATTCTACTGCATACAGCTGTCCTAGAGCTGAAGAGATAGGTTGTAATTATGTGTACATGAGAGTGGTTGCCGGAGAGAGGCCACACCAAAACCACAGGTTTTGGGCGCCCATAATCACAGATTTTGGGGGCAAGGAAAACCGCAGGAACAAACGTTTTACAATTGTGAACAACACTGATATCAAACTTTAAAAATGAATTTAAGAACAGTCGGACAAATTTATTTTTTCATCTTTTTTTATTTGCTTTTTTCTCTATATCTGCTAAGAAGTTTAAAGAATAAAAGCTGTCCTGTCTCTGTTAATTTTCCCTTTATTTTTCCCCCTCCCCTAACCCACATCCATCTCCTGAACTCACTGTTATCCGACATTAAAACCCATATTTTCAAAACTAAACAATTTTACAGGTTTACGCAAATCATTACACCTGTTTTAAAGGGAGTGTTCGCGAAAAATGAAAGGGGGTATACACTTACGGCGAAAAATAAGCGCTTTTTATCGCTACTAATCTTAATTCTATCTATTCTACCAATAGTCATCGATTTTTTTTCGACGTATTAGCATATAGTTGATATTTCATAATATTTTTTTTATCTGAGAGTTACTTTTGAAAACATTTATTCCTGTTTCGAGAATTTTTTATAATGAAGACGACATTTTCATAGCTTCCAGGAATGTTCGAAAATGTTATTAAAAAAATATCTAAATGATTTGTTTGGAATTAAATTGATTATTTTATGATCCGAGTTGAATGTTGCAACTTTCTGAATTTGTATGGACGCTACGTTCTTCGGTATGAGTCTTTTTTAACAATTTTCTCCTTCTTTAGATCGACCCCCCCC